ACTCCAGTGTTAGTCTCAGATGTCTTTTAGTTTTGTCATCGTAAATCAAAATAATAGAAAAAATAGCTGATAGTGACATGTTTTCCATTTTATTTTTTTTCTACTAGTTTGTGGATTTTTCAAAGAGTGCAAAACAGTTTTCAAATTTATGCCTTCCTGAAACAGGAGATTAAGAAAGGCTGCCTGGTTTTATATTTTCGTCATTTAGAAGGGGAGGCAACCGACTCAAATAATTGGTTAGTCTTTCATGTGTAAATTCAGGTAAAACAAAAAGACTGATGAATTCATATATTAATTTCCAATTTAGGGAATACCTTTATTTGAAGGGAGATTAAATCTGGAAGAGACAGTGAGTTCTTCAACGATTATTTTATCTATTAGGATTTTTCCCTTTTTGTGGTACATCATTAGGCTAGTTTCTCATTAGACTGAAGGAAAACTTAAAATGACACGGATTACAATCGAGTATGCGATGAGACATGCTATTATGGGGAGCTGCTAGAGTGAAGTACGTCAGTAGTTCTCTTTTTCAGGCTGGGAGGGCGACTCTTGAGTGATTTGCATTATAATGTGATCCCATTACTTCTAGTAACGGTTTGTAGCTGCAGTGGACGCTAGGGGGTGCTAAAAGAATGGCTGTAGTATTAAGAACTGACTATTTAAAGACCAAAAAAGTGAAAATTACCTGAGCCGTGAAGTAATAATAACTGTTATTCCAGTCTTTTAGCTAGTTTTTTATTTAAAGCATATAAATTACATATATTAAATCACTTAAACGAATCATTTTCCATTTTTCCAAAGAAGTTTTGTTCTGAGACATCTTTACATTGAGGGACTAAGTTAGTATATGGCAAGCATGAGCGGAGGCAGGCTTTATAAATGCAAATTTATTATGATAATAACTCCTAAGGTGCTCCTTTGAATCATTTCATCTCTTTATATGCTTTGGTCTCTGGTGAATTGTGGGGTAATTAGTGTGCTTACAAATTAATTTTCATTTTTAATTATTTTTATTTTTTTAATTCTTTTCAATGTAATGTTGCACAAACCGTTCTCTTCCGTGATTCTAATGTCAGTTCGTGATTATAATGTCATCCCTTAATAGATTGCCTTTATGAGTTCTGTAAGTATTTTGGAAATACTAACCAGTTAGTATTTCCAATATGAAGCATAGTTAGTCAGTAGAGCTAGTTGGGAACGTTTTGTTTTCAAAATTTGATGAGAAAATATGAGCAACCTAGTAGGGAGATAATGATATGTGTGGAAGCGTTCTAAGTAGACAAAATGGAGAATTCTTGTTAGAATCTGCCAAAACAGAATTTACTGAAGTTCCTTCCCATCTCATGGATTTCTGAGTATTTAAAAACAGATGAGAAAGTGGGGATAAGTTTCATTTGCTGGCCAGTTCTAGTAATTATTAGTCTCTTCATTTTATGGAAATAGAAACAAAAGTGACATAAAAAGCCAGCAGAGGTTGTCCTCCTTATAGTGCAGGTGTGTTTGATCCCAGACCTTTCCTTCATTCATTGAATGATCTCACACACACACACACACACACACACACACACACACACACACACACACACACACACACACACACACACACACACACACACACACACACACACACACACACACACACACACACACACACACACACACACACACACACACACACACACACACACACACACACACACACACACACACACACACACACACACACACACACACACACACACACACACACACACACACACACACACACACACACACACACACACACACACACACACACACACACACACACACACACACACACACACACACACACACACACACACACACACACACACACACACACACACACACACACACACACACACACACACACACACACACACACACACACACACACATACATACACATAGCCATATATATACATATATAGGGTTCCATATGGCAGCTTTTTACTAAGAAGCTGTGCATGATCTGCATTGTGTGCATCTGTACCTGCCTTATGGTTATACCAATGCAATCACAAAACAATGAGGGCTTCAACAGACAAGCAAGGGCCTGGTAGACACAGTGTCCGAAGTGTCCTCTAGACCGACCCAACAGAGGGAGAGTGGAGCCAGGCTTTTAATCCATATGTATTCTGGAGCTCTTCTTTGCTCACTGAAAGTAGATATTATATATTTTACACTTCTGCAATAGCAATGCGCAGTCACATCCCACTGTTACTACCTGCTTACTACTAACCAGGCAGAGGCAGAGATGCAATGCTGGTTTTGTGCTCAGGCACCTCTCCACCATGCTGGTCATGAAAAAAAGCTCTGAAGTAAATGAGAGCAAGTCCTTCATAGTCAAACCAACCATGGCACTAAATGGTTATAAGTTATCGTGTAGATAAGGCGTTGACTACTGCTGGATGTTTTTTTCCTTTTGCAAAAATGAAAACAGAGCAACTCTTACTTTCTAAATGGATGTCAAATATCACAAAGAGACTGAAGTCAGGAAAGCTGAGCTTGTATCTTTTAGTTCTTTTTGAACTAAAATCAGTTCTGTCCAGAGACTGCTGCAAGAGGAGACTGACCTACTTTGGAAGTATGCTGCTTCATATGAAGATCTTGCTTCAGGGTTTTGTTCTCTTTGAATAGTGGCTGTTAGTAAGCAAGCTACAGTGGGAGAGGAGTGGGGAGCAAATGAGTCTCGTGAGGCTATTTACCTTATGCAGCTGCTCAATCCTGTTGCATAATGTCTTTGCAATTTTTTTTTCTCACTGCTAGTGAAGGAGGCCAAGCTTTGTCCAGTTAGGGAAGGTGAGTACTGTAATATTTACAGTAAGATTCTGGATGAAGAAAATAGACTCTTAGGCTTTTAGAAACTCTGTGCTTATAGTCTAACAAACGTTCTTGGCCTTTTCTCTGATACAAACCAGCTGTAGCTATGCATTACTGCATGTAAACAGTGTTCCCCAGTTCTTAGCATTTCCAAGCACAAAGCAACAGATTTTAAGCTTTACTGTTCTCTTTTAGTCTGACTGATTTGTATTACTTCCTTATGAGTCCTATGACTGATAATCACTTTGTTTTTTTTAAATCCCATCCTGTTCACGTTGAAGTAAACAAGAATGAGGTTATGTACACAGTGACTGGGAGCAAGCAGACCAAAGGTATTGTGGTCTTGGGGCAGTTTTTAGGGTCTTCATAAAAAGGCTGACCTTAAAGGTGGAACTCATGAAGAAAAATGGTACTTTAGATTAGTTTATTAGGGTTAACTTTCTCCACTGCTTTTTTGAGCAGCAATTCAGAAAGCAAGCATAGATTTCTGTTTTTTTCAGTATTTTCATTAATGCCTTTTTTTCACCCCCAAATTTTCTAAAGGGAGGTGGTAATGGCAGTCGTCTTGAGTGGGAGATAAAACTGTGAGAGGGACCTCAAGGATCCATTGATAGAAATGGTGGGAGTTATGCTTCAGAACTGGTGGGATATTGTGTCCCAGGTTATATTATATACTGGGTCAGGCGTGACCCACTTCCCCTCTTCTGTTTTCGCAACAAGTAAGACTCGCCTGCTTTTCCTCTTGCACATCTATTTCTCATGACAGATGTATCATCTGCTTTCTTCCTGCATTTTACGCTGATAAATTTTTCATGTCTTGGCGTTTGTCCAATGACGCGTGTATTCTGATGCCTATCTGAAGCCTATTTATCCTTTCCAAACAACATGTCTCTTCTGAGATAAGCAAAGCCAACAGAATTCTAGTTTATAGGTATATTCACGTTGAAGTAAAATTCACTTTCCAAATGATTTTGGAAAAGTCAATTCTAGATGCCTATTGGGAAGGTTTTGAGTTTTTTTTTTTTCTTTCAGCAGCTGAGGAGTGGATGTTTTTGAGCCGCTGTACTGGCTGAGTGTCATAGCAGGGAAAACTGTTTTGTTGCCAAGTGGTGGTTGTTACCACAGTCTTCATTGAGGAGAAGATGTTGGGGAGGGAAGAAAAAGCACAGTCTGTCCAAACTTGCTATTTTTTCCACAGTTCTGTGATGTTTTGTAATGCACAGTGTTTTGCTTTTTCTCAGTAAATGCTGCTTCTTTTAACGGTAGGAAAAAACATTAAGAGCTGAAATCACCCCATGTTCTGAATTGGAGCTTTTTAGATATTAGAAATAACAGGAAATCATCATGGACTAACTTTGTATTTTAAATTGTATGGGAGTGACAAACAGGAATTAACAGAAGAAAGTCTCCTAGCATATATGCAAAAAACAGGTTTAGAGCAATGGGCAGAGTGTGATTTAGGCATCATACCCGCCAAATTCTCTCCTGCCTTACGCAGACGCAGTTGCTCAGTTGAACAGCTGCATGCCTGACTTTTCACAATATTCATGCATAGGCACTAATGCTAACTAAATGGTATTATAAAATGATATGCCCATATTAATCCATCATAAAGTTTACATAACACTTTCCCAAAATTTGGTAACTGATTGAGCAAAGATAGTCTTTGGGTTTAAGTATAGGTTCCCTTAGCAACTGTTGCTATGGTTTAAGACGCAGATGTTTTCTAGTTTTTTGTTGCCCCCTTTTTGCTGGAGGTTGCCGGCCCCAGCGCTGGTGGAACAGAACTCGTGAGTTCTCTTTAGAGAAGAGGTGAGTAGCTCAAGTCAGGCTGCCTCCTGCAGCCTTGTATACTAAGCCACTGGACTTTGTGCTGCAGTTTCTGAGGAGTATTCACACAAGCAGCTCTCCTGGTGAAGCTATAGAAAGCGGTTACCTTCTGCAAAGAATGTTAATGTCTATTGCTATTTCACAAATATGTGTATAAGCCCTTTGTTGCATGCTATACTGGCACAGCAGGCTCCTGAAGCATGCCAGGTACTGCAGGGTGCTGAAAGAAGAATAAGAGTTAATAGCAGCAAACTCAAACTAGTTTCATGATTTAGAAGGAAGGTATTGTTTCAGTGACCTAATGTGGTACTGTCTTATTTTTGCAGGCAGAATTAGCAAGATCTATGCTGTCTTCAAACGATGGGAGGTCTAACTGAAGGGTCCCAGCATGAGTACTTGAGTGAACTTCTCGTGTATGTCAAGACAGTCTTGGAAGAATGAATCTGGGGTCTTCCCTCCCATCTGCCCTGGAATACTGTGAAAAAAAATGCTATTGGAAATTGCAAAACCTAGTGAAATTTACCAGGTATTTATTACAATTTATAATTAATTTAAAAAGAGATAAGAGAAGACAAGCCCGGTTGTGGAAAGAGAGCACAATATTTGGAGTACCTTGAGGTTAATGAACGCTAAGTCAGCCTCCTGTTCCAGATTGTACTGAGTCCAGTTTTACTCTGTCTCTGTTGGACTAAAATGTCTGGTTTCTATGAATAATCACTGCAGATTGTACTATTTCAGCACATTCAGGGGCAGTTTATGCCAGTTAAAATTCTCTAGTTATTGTGGTAAAATCAATGTTAATCTGACTTCCCTGTTTTTTTCATACATGTTATTCCTGCGAGAGGCAATCTTTTTGAGATCTCTGATCTTCTAAATCCTTTCTCTCCATAATTTTTAATTATAAAATGGAATTATTTGCTTATTTGTGCCAATTCCATTTCTTTTTCCTTTAATTTCATTGCAGTCTCCTAGCTTGATTATGTATTTAATTCATAGTTTGCTCTGGGTAAATTAATACATCCTCAAGCTGTTATAGTTTACACAGGAGACTTTAGTTTGAATTTGATACTTCAATTCTTATTCCACCCTGAGTTTGAAAGTAATTCATCTAACTTCTTGTAATAAATTTTGTGTAGTTTCACCTTAAGATCCGTAAGAAGCTTTGCGTTATCTTCAGTGCTATTCAGCCCATAGATTTTTCTAATGCAGAACTGCATTTAACTGTTAAACGTTTTTTCTGAAGCCCGTTGCCTGTGTTGCTCTTGCACCCTTCTTGCTTAGAATACTAAAATTGTATCATTTCATTTCCAAAATTATTTTCTACTTTCACACTTCTTGCATAGTTTCTTGAGCAATATCTGAGCTAAATAAAGTGGCAGTCCCTAGCAGTTTTCTCTATCTTATAATAAAAAGAAGTCACTAATGCATTCCGTAAACTAATGGATCATGTGTCCTCTTTAGCCTTCTAGTAGAGATCTAGGTAGCTAAAGTCCCTTAATTACAGTCTGATTCGGCCATGTGCCTACTTCTATCAGTTGTATTGACATATAATGAATATTATTAACTAATATTTCCTATTTCTGGATGATTACATAAAATTATATTTGAGAATAGCATTTATGAATACATATTTTACCCCTGCTCCACCATAAGCCTTGCAGCCTTCATCATTTAGGAGAACTCATGTTACTGGCTGTGAAAGGCCAGACAGAGCCCCTGCCAGAGCCATTAAAGCCTCCTTTTCAGTCAGCCAGCAGACTAGCTGTTGAGCAGTTTCAGGCCCTCCCTTCCCCTAGGGGCTAGGTATACTGTTACTGCAGTACTTCCAGTCACTTCTGCCTGGAGGGTGAAAAAGGGATTCTGAGGAATCTGTGCTTTTAAGTAACTATAAGGTCAGAGGAGCCGGACCGAAGGATGATTTGAAGTGTTAAATAACATTCTCTTTGAAGATATATAGCTTTTGAAATATCCAAAATAATCCAAGTTGTCAAATTAAAATAGCTAAGGTATCTGCAACTTGATTTTTTGGCTGAGTACTCTTCCTCTACTGGGCAGTGTATTTCTACTGTATTTCTAAATTATATTTCCCTGGGCAATGCTGCAAGTCCTTACTATTTTCTCTTACTTTAAGCTGACTGCATGCTAACTGATGAAATGTACTTTTTGAGTCTCACCTTTTTATAATGATGTAACAAGAAGCGTTTAAGTTTCCATCACGCTAGCTATCTTTGATAGTGACTGGTAGGCAAGTAGCCAGCACAGACTGGTTAGTTGGTGAATTTTCCTTCTTGCTCCCTTTTTTGGGTACCTGTGTTGATGCAATAAAGAAGATTTCTCACCCTCTTCTACCCCACACGCTGTGGTGGTGAAGTTTGTTATCAGTGTGTTTAGGAGGCATACCTGTCTGCTGTCACAAGTGTACTTCTTGATCTATAGGTGTGTGTATGAGAAACAGAAAGATAAACCAAAATAAAATGGAATAAATATGAAAATTCATTAACAAAACCCCTCTATTTGAAATGATTTAAAATCAAACAAAATTATTTCTCTCTGAAACTCACTATGCACATTTCAATTGCAAGCTAGGCTGTTACTGCCTTAGAAGTCCAAAGGAAATAAATAGGATTTATACTTACTTTGTCATACTTTGGACCATGCTAGCTTCAAGTACAGAGCCAACTTTTTATGTCCAGATGTCAAAAATGGTCACGTAAAACTAAAATGGAATAATCTTCACAGGATTCACTAAACCTTTAATTTCTTTTCCTCTGTGTGGAAGGATATGCAATAATAATAATTTTACTTCAGAGCTTTAAGCTGAAAAATAGCTTTTTGTGTCTGTCAAGCATTTCATTGAAATTTATTTAATATTTTAGCTAAGATTCCTAAGATGCATGTTAATGTGGCATATACAAGGACAAAGAAGAACCTCTTCTCAAGGACAAGAGTAAAATCTTTTGACGAATAAACTAGCTTTCTCTGATGCAGCTGATAACATAAACTTTTCTCTAACTTTCAAAATGATAGCAAGATAACTGAGTTTGTCAGCAGCAAAAGAAATGGCATATAAATATGGGGGAGGATAAGGCAGAGAAGTGAGATGGGGAAAGGCAGAAATATCAACAGGCTTTTTTATTGACAATATGGGAAAGGCAATAGATAATAGAATTTAGCATAAGATAAGTGAGGGAACAAATGTTAATGTGATGATACAATTTTCTGACTGTTTAAACACACCAGAAATTCTTAACAGATCCTGAGTAAAACAGTCCTGAAAAAAACGATGAGGCTTTTAGAAAAGATCGAAAGGGAATGATCAACGCTGAATGTTCTAAACTATAATTACAGGCTGAAAAGGCAGGACTTAGACTGAGATGTTCAAGGATTTGAGAATAAGGAATATTTTCTGTGTATGTGTCCCATGTGAAAGGATCTGAGAAGACTAAGGCCGAGATGTAGATAAGATGTTTATAGAGTGTCATCAGCCTGTTAAGAAGCAGTTTGTACTTTGGTAAAGGATCAGCAAAAGTACGTAGGACTAGAAAGGCATGAAACAGGATTACTTTTATTTTACTTCCTTTTTAGGCATGGTAAGTAATACAGGGCCTTGACAATTTGTGGGACAGCTAAAGAGAAATTGTAGGGTTATTACCAGTGCTGTTTTACCTATCTTGGTTTGGTAAAAACAGGCTTCCTAGCTTTCACCATTGTCTGTCACTTTTCATTAGCCATAAAATTACATAAAGCCTGAAAAAGAGAACTTTATAATGAAATTGCCGGCCTAATCTTTCACAGATAAAAAAGTGAATGTGTTCCAGGGAGCAAAAAAGGGCTTTATTATGGCAGGCTCTTTGTACCAGTAGCATGTGAAGTTTTGCTCATGATTCTTGTGGTCTAAGTAAGAGAAACCAAACTTGCAATATTGTTTATCTTGAAATATTGTCTCAGTGAAACCTCCCATTTGATTCAAATTGCTGCCCCCACTCCCAAAGTTTTTTTTACTAGCAATCTTAATACAGTATGAATTATGAGGATCTGCTTTATGTATTACTTACACTGAATAACCATAGCTATGCTAGGATTCTACCAAATTAGACAGATTATTTGTGGTATAGTACTATTTAATCTGAACAGAAGGTTTACAGACGTTTCTTTTTATAATGCACGTTAGACTGCCTGTGGACAGTGCAACTTGCATAGAATAAAGTGAAATTACCTGAGGGAGGGCTTGGTAATAATTTTTTTTTTTTTAAGGAAGTACCTTACCTTTGGCTTTGTCATGGAGACTGGGAGGATACCACCCCTTTTTTCTGAGGATAATATGGATAGTGTCTGTTTTCAGGTCATTCCATTGAAAATGGAAGTCCTGGGAATGTTTTGACTAGGAATTGGGCAATGAAAAAAGAGCAGTAGCTTTAAGCAGTTGTATTTTGTCTGTAAATAGGCTTTATAATTCAGAGAAGTTTATATAGTAGAAAATGGGCTAATGAGCACGTGAAACATTTTTAAGAGTAAAGATAAAACTGTAAGTGAGCTCGACCATTTTATCTTGTTTTCAGATGTGAAATAGTGGCATGTGAGGAACATTTTTAATTCTCTGCTATTCAACTTAAGTAATTTTATGTGAAACTCATTCTCACATTAATCAAGTCAGAGATTTTACCTAGAATTGGTATGGCCTATTTTTGCTTGTATCTGAGACTAATGTTACTATCTCATGGTGCATCTGTCTTAACAGATATATTTTCTATGTAATTTTATTTATGGTACTAAGGCCCTTTATTCTCTGAGAATAACTCTTATACTTGCTGAAACACTCTATACTGGTTTGAGAAATGTGGCTGTATTTCTGTATCACCCCTGAACCAGGGAAGTTGAGACAAGGTCAGAACTGAAGCATTCTGCAGCAGCAGGTGGATCTGGAAAGAGGAGGCAGGAGACAGGTTGTTTAGTAAGGTGTATAGCGTACATAACCGAAGTTTGCAGGTAGTGCAGAGATTGGCATCATGTTAATGAAGAAAAGAACAGGTTACAGATGCAGAGTGTTCTGGTTCTCTGCATCAAAAGGGTGAAGTCAAGTAGTATGCATTGTAAGTTGGGCAAGTATCATGTAAATAGAAACAGAGAATCATCTTTGGTGCAGGTGGATGAAAACAGTCTAGGAAATGGTGCCTGAAGGAGCTGGAGATCATGATGGTTAATCAGGTGACTATGATGAACCCAGGTCAGGGTTGTGGCTAAGAGAGCCAACTCATCCTTGGATGTGTCTGTAGAGGACATGGTAATATTTGTATTATCCTAAATAGCATATTTCCCTCTCAAGTTACCTTGTTTAAATGCATACAGTTAGGTTAAAATGTGTTAAACCAAAATTAAGAGTAGGCACGATTTGGATAAGGCATATTCTGTCAGGTTCTCGATTAATATTGACAGAGAAAGACCTGTTAACTTGAACCTTGGAAGCAGTGTTTTTGCCAAGGCAAACAAGCGGAAAGTCAAAAGACAAAATGAGAGGGCAAGTTAATAGCTACTAGATACTGACCAAGAGCCACGGCCTAAGGAGAAAAAACAATAGCAGCTTGGAAATAGTAGATGCTCTTCAGTCCAAGATTCTATGAAAAGCCTGGAAATGTATTTAAAATATATATATTTGAATGAGGCCTCAAAGACAGTCTCATCTTGCCTAGATTTGATAAAAGCTTAAATGAGGTAGAGAGGAGGAGGGAGGGAAGATGCTGTATATCCTTTGGCTAGGAGGACTAAGACAAATGTCCAGAGATGAATGTAGAAAGAAAGCAGGTAGCATAATCATTTCTGTGTAGTTTTCTGTGTTTTGCCTTGGTTGGCCTTTGAAATCCTGGTTCCTGTTCAAAAGCCTGCAAAAGCAAGACACCTCAGTGGAATGGAAGCTAATTTCACTGCTCTGAAACTGAGGTTAAGGTGTGAGCATACGACCTGGTTTCTGCTCACCTACAGCTTCCTCTGATAATTATAAGGACACACAGAGATCTTCCATGAGTGTTACGTGAGTTGTGCAGTACCACCAGTTTGTATGGCTGTTGTATGCTCCTGCTTGGCAGCTGCCCAGAGCAGGCAGAGGAGCAATCTGATCAGTTTTTCCACTCAGGTAACTTGTTGCGCCCCTTATTTTACACATTGGCATTTAATAAATCAGCTCTCTGAATTTGAGTGTAAGGCGCATAAGATTTACATACAGCAACAGAATATATGCTTAAACGTACACAGTTCAGATATTGATAGCTGCCCGATAAATGGCCACCATAGCAGGTGCTAAAGGACATCCCCCTGTGTTTGAGCTTTAGCTAAAGTACACCCTTAATCTCTATTAGGAAACTAGCACCAGACCAGACTGTTCCCTGACTTTTATTAGTTCGTCTTTATTTATATCTATGATTTCAAAATCCATCCTTCTAAAATGTTGTGTGTGCCAGCTCTGAGCTTTGGCTTCAGGAGAATCCCATTCACTCTTTCACAGTCACATAATTCTAGTTCATGTGCTTATTACATGGCCATTTGACTCGTTCTTCAAACATGACAATCAGCTCTGTTATCTTTCATAGTTGTAGCTTGATACTAACTGCTAATCAGAGAGCTACTACGCATCATCTTCAACGAATTGTTATCGCTTTTCTGTGCCTTCTACCACTGACCAGCTCTAGAGCTTCAAAATAGCATGCCCCTTTACTTTTGCTCCACTCTACAATACTTTGTATTATATTTAGTATATGCTGTATACCAAAGAAGTTTCATTTGTGGGGGAAAGAAAAGGGAATCTATTGCATTCAGAATTGAAAATCATAGTTAAATCACACGTAACTTGCAGCTATGACCTAGGAGATACAAAAAAGAAAAAACATCTTTTCATGAGAAGGTTGATGAAAGACAAAGCTGCTTTACATTTTCTTAAGCTAAGAATCTAATTTATACACTCTTCATTCTCCATATGAAATAATGTAATGGGATTTTTAGCCAGCTTATTGGATTATCCTTTTCTGAAAATTGTATTACTTGGAATATTTCCTGTTTTGGGCTAGTGAATATAAATGTGTACTGGTAACTTTGGTTTAAAAATTGTTTCTTCTACAATTTATTTGTATGGACAGATATTAAATATTTTGGTTATGGGTTTTCAAAAAAAAAAAAAAAAAAGAAAAAAAAACCAGGTGTGGGCTGTCTTCAGACTTGAAAATGCAATTCACATTTCTGCGAGTGTGTCCCAGAGACTAGGGAATTTAATCATTTGAAGAGCAATATGGCTGGCCTGTTCAGTTTAAAGACTTCCATAAGGATACCAGTTCTTCACAACAAAGATTTTCATGATGCAGTTATAATTCGTGTACAGTTGCATCTATGGAGTAAAACATTTCAGCAAGAGTCAAACACTGAATGTTGAGGATAGCAACTAATAAATTCAACGGGTTAAAACAGAATGTGGGCATAATCACATTGTTGTTTACGGATGTCCCCTAATTCCAGGGAGGAGGGTATTCTGTTAGCAGCGTGATATTCATGGATCATATTCTTATCTTTACTTTACTTTGTGTTCCGTTTAGGATCAAAAATTGCTTGTAGGGAGAACTCTTACGGAATAGGAGTCAGCTTCTA